ATCATTTTGTATTCACGTCTTGTCATTGTCTTTGGTCATAGGCTCACCTTATAGTATAGCGCGTATTACAATACAGCTAATAATACACATCTATTATATTTTGATGCTCTATAAGAATGAATTGCTTTCATTGTTAAATAAAACTCACGTTCTTCTTGGGGCTTCATCAGTTTCGTGATGTCACTTATCAAACATTTAGGATATATATTTACATTTAACTTTTATTATTACTATTATTTTCGAGTTTAAAAAAACTAAGATTATGTTATCTGTCCCTTTGCTCCATAAACTATATAATAATATTTGGATTTATTATTATATAGTCTATGGAGCAAAGGGACAGATAACAAATAAAATAATAATTTATTACTATTACTACTTCCTCTAAATAACCGAGTAGTATGTATATAGTAGCACCATGATAATCTATTCGAATGAACTGCTCACACTCTGCTTTAAAAACTATTTCGGGTTCGATTCCCGCTCAAGTCAAACATTTGTGTGCATGAACATTTAATGTTTGATTTGATTTGGTTTGGGTATTTCTATGTATAATATGTATGTTTTTACAAAAAAATGTATATATATGTATTTATACCAATTGTCTAGTATCCATAGTACAAGCTCTGCTTAGTTTTTGACTAGACTGAATGCTAATGAATGTGGTAGATTTTTATTATTATCTTAATTTCATCACGTTCTCTTTGTGTACGTTTACTGTTCTATTTTTTGTTATATTTTATGAGCATAGTGAGTAGTCGAATCTTGTCAGTTATAAAGACACTACAGGATGCTGTGTGTGCAGAATGTAAGACATTCAGTAAGAATCTTTTGAGTATTATTAAACCTTATATTAAAAAAATATTACTTATGCTGTTACTATATTACTTTTGTGTTTATGTAAATTAAGTGCAAAAAAGCTCCATCAGAAATTGGCTTGGTTGTACATATAAGAACATATTGAGAGGGTTTTGGGCAAGAATAAGTGAATAGGTAAAAAATATAATAAAGAAATGACCTAGGTATCATGCATAAATACTATACTTTGCTAAAATCTACATCTTATATTTCACGTAAAAAAATAGTTGTGTCCCATGTTCATTAATAAAAGCTTTCATTGTATTACTAAAAGATAAATGTCTCTGTTCCCACAACACTTAAACGTATAAATAGACCGCTAAAGCCGCAACTTGCCGCCATCGATCCACACGCCAAAATTTTCATCCTCATCACCTGCATAGTTGGCGCTGCACTTTTCGAGACATTTTTTGCTCCGCACAACCAATCTGTAGAACAGGTTATCGTCTCCGGTATTTCCGGACCGATACGACCTTCAAACCTTCAAGAAAAGAGCGTACTCCTTACTAAAAGGCCGGCACCGCGTTTGTGACTCCTGAGTTGCAGACGTTCATGAGCGGCGATGGTCACTTTCTATTAGGTGACCCGTCTGCTCGTCTGCCCCCTCTAACATAAAAAAAACTTATTTTATTTGAAAGGGTTTGCGTCCATATTGGTCTTATATGAATATTATGAAGATCTAATGTTTAAATTTTATAAAAGTTATATAAAACTGATAATAATTCATAGAACAATGACTGACATGAAATAATTGGTTAAATCGATCTATGTATATTCTGAAATTGATTGATGACATTTTGATTAATTTGTAGATATAAAATATAGTAATGTAGGTATAAAAAATAGTATTTTAATTTATTTTTTTAAAGTTATACAACCCAAATCATCTTCACAATATTCAGAGTCGTCGTCATTGGAACAATCCTGTAGATTAATGATAAGTTCTTGATCACCAACCAAAACGAGTTGTACTGCTCGTTCCCAGTCTTCCTTCCTTATCCTTTTGGTTCTACAGCCTTTTTTCAGTCGTCTAGAAGCGTTACTTTTACACAAGCGTTATTTATAGCCAGTGTGATTAATATCTGTACTACGATTCTCTTACAATTCAAGTTAAATGATATAAGTAATGTTTGTACCAGTACTACTAGGTTTTGTATCACATCACATCACATCAACAGCCTATAATAGTCCACTGCTGGACATAGGCCTCTCCTTAGAAAGAGGAGAGCCCTATGTCCAGCAGTATGTATATGAGAGGTTTTGTATAAAGAAAATAAATTAATTCATAGGTACTCATATGTAAGGTACGCGGCATTTGATTTCCATCGCTTCAACAAAACTTTTGGCGATATCGATTTAGTGGATATACGAGTACATATTGATATCACCAAAAGTTTGTAGAGAAAAAATTGGCTTATCAAATTAGCTCTTACTGATATGACGTAAGGTGACTGGAGTGAAACGGAATATCTGATAATATTAAATGTCGGCTATTAACACTGTTCTTTACAACCCATAAATAATCAACCTATTAAATATAGTGAAGATTTTATATCAGTTGCATATGCTAGCTAACGGTATAGAACAAGCACGGTAAAAGTGGCAAAACTGCATATATTAACATTTCAGCTTCTCTGAAATATCATATGACTTATCGAGGGTCATTAAACGAAAAATTAACTTAAATAAGTATGTCCGAGTGCAGTGTACATTTTGGTGAGTATTCTTTATTCCTTAATCTGCTAATTATCATACTTGGGGTGAGTTTTAAAAAAAATTGAATGGGACCAAACTACATAGAAAAATATCCTAATTTAATTAAAGACTAAAAAATATCAAAACTTTTAGTGGTTTTGGCTTTATTGGATTAAACTATTTTATTTGATTAATCAGTTTCGATTGAACTATAGGAAAAATGATTAAGGTTTCATTAATGTCTCATTTTAACGACATTAATCGTATGTAGAACGAAAATATTGGTTACACGTACTACCTGACCCCACATATGTTGCCCTGTTAATTATTTATCTTAATTTAATTAGGAAAAAATATTTTTAGGTTTTCACAAATTTCCCTATTTTCTGGGCAATTTGTAAACTTTTCTTGCCCTAAAAAGCTCGGACAAATTAGTAAAATTGTTTTGGCTTGTCGAAAAAACCGAGTTTTATTTTCTTTTAAAGTTTAAGAGCTCAACAGTTCAGTTTTTCAATCTGATACCAAGAGATACCATATCAATACAACATACTGCAAATACATTTAGGGAAGACGTTAAAATTATAGTTTCATATTGTTATTTAATTAAATAATATAAGAGATTTCTTTAAATCATTAATTTGAAAATTTTATGAACGATACAATAAATAAAGAATGCTTCAATGATCTATATGTGTACGTAACATTGGCACATAGCGTTCGTGTGTGATTCGCACCGTGGTGTAAACATCTCGTGGTGTCAATCGACGAAGTACCCTAAATCCATAACTAATTTACCGCTGGTGGATGTGTTAATTCCAACTGCAAACATAAAAACACGAAATTTGACCGAAACCTTCCTTCACTATTTTTATATTTTCTTTACGTTATGAGTTAACGGTATGACGTTCTATTTATTTTAATTGAGTTTTCAATGAGTGTGTTTGTACATTCTAGCTTTATAAGGAAAGTATATTACAAATATAAGAAATTTTATTTTAGGCACGCTCATATAACGAAATTAACAATAAACTTAGTATGACTAAAGATACTACGTTTGGAGTTTCATCCAATAACGCAGAGTTGGAGATTCTTGTTTATCGGAAAACACAATCAACCGAGTACCTAACACATCTTTCACGTATGATCGCCGCACAACCATTTATATGTATTGTGTTGCCGCTACACCTGCAGACCCAACAATTGACTCTGAGAGATTTACTATACTGGGCAACGTAGGTCGCTCGCAGTATCTGGTTCACAGACTGCACGGTGTGTCGAAAGTTTGACATAAGGCCCTGAATAGTTTTACTGCCCTTGTATATCATGCAAATCTGTATTTAGTACAGATTACAGACCTACGTTCCCTGTAAAGCTTTTTTTACTTGATCTTCGAATTACGAGAAAAGCAGGAAAAAAAGGTTTTTAGTTAATCACGTGTAGGAATTATTAGGAACTGTTCCAACATTAGTTAACAGACACACATCATTACAACAAGTTTATACAATTATTTTTTTTTTTTTGACATTAAGATGAATTATGGTAGGCTTGGTACCATAATTTATCTTAATCTTAAGTTTGTACATCAAATGAATATTTTACGAAGATCCTCGCCTGTATCAGATCTTGTCTTCTTCAGACTGGTATCACTTAATTTAAGAAATTATTACACTGTTCAGAAGATTTCAGAGATTTTTATAAACAAATAGAACCAAATTATATTGTTAAAGTGCAGCTTGGTATCCTATTTCCTTATATTTTTTACAGACTTAAAACATTTAAGTGTTTATTGGTTTACGTGCATTAATATCGGCTGTATATAATCGATAATAATATTTATCAGCAAAATTTGTCACGATATTTCAAGTGGGGCTTTACTTATTTTTGAATAAACAATGACTGTCCATGGCCTCGGTTTAGTTTTTATTATTACTTTAATATCTGTGTCTATAAATGAAACCTCTTGAAATTTCGCCAGTGTGCATATTTATGCATAATTTTAGAAATTACTTCATTTTTTTTAGTTTTTTTTTCTAAGAGAGCAAAATACTCTTGCACGTTATATAGTGTTAAAAACTAAGTATTACTTGGTATTGTATACATATTCTAGACTCACATTGGGGAAAATTAACATCTCAATTATAGTTACATCATCATTATCATCATCATCTCAGCCGTAAGACGTCCACTACTGGACATAGGCCTACCCCAAGATTCGCCACAACAAGCGGTCCTGAACTGCCCGCATCCAAAGGCTTCCCGTTACATTTCAAATGTACTATATTAATAAAGTATAAAGTTTAAATTTAAACGACTTACATAAAAAACTTTTGAACATGGTTTTAAAATAATTGAAACATTACTCATTTCCAGCCTTATTTTTTGACTGTTGATTTTTCAATACGAATTATTTCTTGTGCCTCAAGTACCTAAACACATTTTTTTTACAGAATGGCAAGTTATACGTGGAGGTCACGAAAGGAAGCTCAACCATTTATGGTCCAGACCAATATTGCATTGATAACTTTGTGTGGGACGACAACAGAACAGAGATCAGCGCATTGATTTGCTTCAAGTCTGACCCTGCTGGTGAAAATCACTATCAAGTCAGCAGTACCTGTAAGTATTCATACTTTATTTTTTAAACCAATGATTTTTAGTTTCAAATACCTTGTTTTAAATATTATTAATCGACTACTCATGTTGGACGACGACATTGGTGACGACACTATTAAGGGAGTGGTACCTGAAAAAGCGTTTTCGTTTACACTACCTGGTTGATAAATAAAGTTCACTCTTGATAAATCGATATTTACTACTCTTGATAATTACTTAATGATTAATTACTTAAGTCAGTGAAGGGATCTTGGCTATGAACTATTCTAAAGCTTTAAGTACAGAATAAATGTCTTGGAAAATTCAGGTTCATTTTTTTGAGACCGATCTTGGTTTTAAGGCAGCGAAAGATTAGTTAACACTGGATGACATTCATGCTTGCACATCTGGAAGAGTATTCTAGAACATCACTAATACTTTACAGATCATTAAACCCTCCACACATTGTTAGAAAAATCTGATCTGGCACAACCTGTTTGTGACCGAGTCTAGAAATGTTCTACTACTGAAGATAAAAACTATTTGAGAAAAACACAAACTTTTAGTTAAGTGCCATTTCAGTTATCGATAATCTTACCCGTTATATTTATGAGCTTCTAAAGCAATATTTCAAACGAACCAAAAAACAACCAATAAGTTTTCTAAATACACAAACCTGTCAATATTTCTTGATACGTGTTGTAAAAAATTAAATTGACTTTTTTCATGTTTTGTTATGAACAAGAAGCACTTTACGGTAACTGGTTTCTATGATGTAAATGATTAAAAATAATAATATGTGCATAACATGTTATAATCAATTAATGTTTTTTTTTGTGTACCGACGTCGTAAAAACTGTGTTCACAGCCTTCATTATTTCCTGTAGACTGTGTAAGTAGGAATGCAGAATTAAAATATATCTGCTGCGCTTGTATTGAATCAATACTTAACCAAAAAAGTTGTTGAGTCACATTGTTGTTCTTATAAGTTAAACGGGTAATATAAATATATGTGTCCGTTTCGAACGAGAGGCTTTTCACGGCAATGGCCTCTGCAAGGTTGCGATACCTACCACTTTGGCTGAGTTGGACAGTCAACAAGAAACCGGTACTCGTTAATTTAACTTCACATTAAAGAAATATTTTTAAGCTTTACTTTTAATGTACCGTTAGCAAATAAAATTGTACGTCAACTTTTATATTAAAATAGTGATTAGTACATCTGATAGCATATTTGGCATTTTGCTTTGTTTTGTTAGCTTAGATTGATTTACTGACATTGATGGAAAATTTTGTAAACAACTTTATGAGAAGACCTCTCCGGCGCTAGGAATATATTATGTTTTGCGGGGGAGTTTACCAACTCATTTACCAAATCATAAAAACGGACACTAAGAACGCCCAGACTCACACAGCAAGTGTAGTACCATGTGGGTGTAGCACCCACAACACAGCGCATTAGGACGCGGTGACCTGGTTCACCGGCTATTAGTACCCGAGACGGCGTGCGGTTTTAGTCGGTTCGAGTCCGACATGCCACCAATAGGTGGTATCCGAGGGGATTTCCGCACGGAAAAAAAAGGGGACCCCTTAAACCACAACGCCATCCGTGCAGTTTTTTTTAATACAGGTAATCGCATACTTCAATGCGCCTAAATTTAGGTGGGCTTAAAATAAAATTTAATAACCTGGAAAGTCTTAATACCTTCACATTTTATTCAATTTGTTCTTCAAAATAAATAGCACTAACCTTGCGAACACAACCAATTCAGTCAAAGGTTATTGAAATCTATAATAATATTATAAATGCAAAAGTGTGTCTGTCTGCCTGTCTATCAATCTGTCAGTCTGTCTATTACCTCTTCACGCTTAAACCGCTAAACCGATTTAGATGAAATTGAGTATAAAGATAGTTTGAGTCCCGGGAAAGGACATAGGATAGTTTTTATCCTTAAAGGGGGTGAAAATGGCGGTGGAAGTTTGTATAGGAAATAAATAACCGCTTAACCGATTCAGATAAAATTTGGTATGGAGGAAGTTTGATTCGTGAGAAAGGAGATAGGCTACCAGGCTTTTCACTGCGATAACTGACATACACGCGGGACAAAAGCTGGTTGGTTTATAAATAACAAAAATACAGCCCTGTCAATATTCAGCACTGAATATTTATGAATATTCAGCACACAACTCAACAACAGACGAGAGACTTGGTAACGCAACGTTTCTCGTCTACTGTTCAGGTATAGACAAAAATATTTCCTAGTCAGGGTATTCATGTTCCTCTTCCTCCTCCATGAATATGCATAGTTGCACACGTATCGAAAATAAACTTTTAGGTAGGTGGGGATCAGAGTAAGGTGTACCACGGCAGTTTGATAGTGATTCATTCAAAACAACGTCAAACAAACGATTTTGTAACTTGCTTTAAACAATATATTTACAATTCGAACCGACTTAACTAAAAATTTGGACCGATTTACCGTTCGAGAGCCAGAAAGCCATAAACAGCTCGGATCAACCGTGTGATTCACAACCTCATAGATATCAGAGTGAAAAAGATTACAGGAGCCCGAAGACTCCCTCCGGTTCTGGGGAGTGAGGACTCAAAGAGTATCTACGTACTTGTGTCTCTTCAGTTGTAAGTGTCCGTGAGCGGTGGTGCTCATTTACCATCAGGTGACCCGTCTGCTCGCTTTCCCTTCTACACCATATAAAGTATAATGGCAAGCATCTTTGCCATTCATATGTTTGTTTTGAGGTCAGTACGAAGTATAAAATCAAACTCTCCTACGACCACTCCTAGTAGGTCACAGTATACTCAATCGAGTATGTTAAACAACAAACAGCAACTTTCTATAGCTCTTTATTTGGCGCCCATTAATAGCAGTGACGGCTCGACCGTTACTGTTATTAATGGTCGCCAAATATTTATTATTTTTAACAAAAAAAAATTGTCGGGCTCGTGTTATGATGAGGAAAGTAAAATGATGTCACTAAAAATGTGTCTACGCCAGAAGTATCTAGCCAGCAGTAAATAAATTTCTTATTTATTTTGACTTATATTAATTAATATTCTTAATACTGATGACTGACGACTGCACGGATGACGCAAAAGTTACCTCGCCACTTTCTACTGCGCTGGGTATTGTAAGTTCGATCCCCACATGGGATACCTAACACTTTGAGTGATCCACAAATTGTTGTTCTAAGTCTGGGCATTTTTTATGTCCGATTCATGTATGTTTGAAAAGTCCCCTGCGACACAGGATAGTTGTATTGAGCCTCCGTCAGTTTAAAAAAATAACGAAAAGAACAAACTATCTTTAAAAAACAAAACATATAGAAACTCAATGTCTGTGTGCAATATGTTTTTACTTTTATTTTATTCTTTTTCAGGTATGTTAATCTCATGTTTCTTCATCGTTCTGACGGTTGCCGTGTATGCATGGTTGCCGGAGCTCAGAAATCTACATGGCATGGTTTTGATGGCGCACCTACTCAGTTTCCTAGTAGGCTTCACATTTATGGCTACTATGCAAATAAAGATCTTAAGAAACGACTCCGAGCCAGAAACATGCACCAGTTTCAGTAAGTAAACGACACTATATCATCATCCTCTGAGCGTTTTTTTCTAAACTTGGGGTCGGTTTTAAGTCTACTACGATACGGCTGAACTTTGATTTTTTACGTTGACCTATCAGACCTCTACAACCCAAGTACTAGAGGATATCAAAGATCCAAAGATAAACTGTCGTGGAACTTTTTAGGGCTCCAACTATCCGTAACGATTGCTACAGATGTTTACCGATACTATATGAAAATTGGAAACAAATATGAATATAATATGCATACTAATACATAAAATTTTAAATACAACTATACACACTCAAAACCCTTTAATAAAAAATCTCAATCTCAAAAAAGTAAATTAAGAAATTCTAATGATATTTATAAAACTTTTAAAACCCCGTACCAACTTTGGAAAAAAAAATATCATGTACGGGGTGCAAAAATTTACAATAAATATAACTTGCCTAAAAATATAAAAGAAACAAAAACCATGCAATCATTTAAAAAAATACTAAAGAGTAATGTCTCGAATACAATGAAAACAGTATACTCGTAGATAAACTACGCTTACTATTTCAACACATGTCACATCCAGGTAAGCTTGATCCGTGGATTTATCCGTACAATTACAGTACAAAGTATACAGTACAGTTACAAAGTGTTAACATCTACCCTCTTTTAATTGCCAATTGTGGATACCTTAGTTTGTAATTTGCATTAGTGTCACGCCGCTCGGCAAATGGCTGTATTTCATTCAAACTGTGTTCTCATGAAAGTGAACATGTAATTCTTTATGAGAATAAAGTTTCTTAAACCCGAAACATCTAACTAATGCAATTATATATTCGACACAAACTCGTGGGTCATCATCAGAGCTCTCTTCGTCGAGTTTTGAAACAAAACAATGCATAGGATAATTTTGTATGCATTTGATGAAATGCCCAGTGGAAATATGTCATTGGTTTATAGAAGACAAACTCATATAACACTGTGGTCAATTCATGTCATAGGAACATTATTATTAAACATCAATCTTGTTTCGATATTATTCAGATATATGTTTTGAATCAATACTATTAGGTAAAGACTAATAGAGTTACTATGTCTCACTATATCTTAGGTTTTACGCACAAACCGCTAAACATCTTTAAATAGGAATTGTTGTGTACAAATGACTTTTCGAAGACTTCGTTTTTTAGAAGGTCAAACCAATATATAATAATGAAGAATTTTTTATAAAAATTTATCACTGGAGCAGCCTATTTAATTCAACCATTACTGTTCTGCGTGGTGATGTTGAATGCGTAGCAGATTTAAAATACCTAGTCATAAATTTAAAGAATCGCACACCTACTGTGTACTGTATTGCTAGTAAACTGATTTGATCTCAGACGATGTCACTGAAGTCAAATTTATACAATTTTTTTAAAATCTAACATGTGGATTGTAACCATTTTTTTTTAATTTCCTCAATAAAATAAATAAATGGCTGCTACTCAAATATTTTCCTCTCAGATAATAAGTGTATCATCGCATTCTGACACAATTTCCGACAGATTTGACAGATGTCCGAAAATATTATTACAATATTATTATTATTTTCTTGCTGGTCTAATTATTGTATAACACAGTTGTTGCTGTGATGTTTCTAAAACAATATAGAGTTAATAATAAATAATAATTACTTCATACATTTTACATACGGCCGTTTGATTCTAAACTAGGCATAGCAGGCTATGCCTAGTTTATTACGGTAACCAAACTGCTGATAAACATACTTATACATTCTTAAATACATAAATATTTTAGAGAAAAAATAATAAATTATTGACGAATACTTCTCAATGTGTTATTTACACGAATCTGATCTATTACACGAAACAGCTCTGTATAAAATAGAGCCCTCACAGAGATATCAGAAGGCAACTGTCGTAATAAAAATTCGTTCAAAATGCAGTTTCTATCTATTCTCTCGATTTCATAAATTTCATGAACGATATTTTTTTAGTAAAAATTAAACATCCTACGTTGACTGAAATGTGATTATATTGTATTGTGATCGAAAGTTCAATCTTTATTCTGATAGTTTTAGTTGTACTTATTACTTTACTACAGTATTCTCGTAGTGTAGTAAGTGCATACTTGTATGATATTTTTGAGATCGAAAGTAGATTGAACCTAAATTTTGAACGAATTTTTATTACGAGAATTGACCTTCTAAGCTCTTTAAATATATCTTAAATTTGTCCACAGGTTATTTCACGAACTTTACATTTTGTCAGATAACTAATATTAAATCACTACACTATACACAAATTTATTGTTTTGCACATGTTTAAGGAATATATTTCTTAACACTACAAAACAATTAAGAGAGCGTTTTGTGCAATGCTCATTTATTCGTTTTAAACGTTGTTTATTTAATTTGACGCAGTTAGCCTCTGGCGTAGTAATTTTTGAACCTCGATTTAAAACATTAAATTTCAAAAATTTTGAATGACCTTTCATCTAAGAAATTAACATCAAACATATCTTTACAAAATACACGCATTTTAACCGATATAAAAGTCGGTTGACTTTAATATAGATTACAGCTGTAACTAAAAATAAAATTTTGTAACCGTCGGATATTCAGCTGTTTATATTTATCTTTGAACGGAGACATAACATCAGATTTACAGGAATATCTTAAATCAAGGAATGCGCCGCATTTTCAAATTTTTTTAGTGCTAAAATTATATATAGGTACTTTTTCCTTTATAAAGTATAAGATCATTAAACAAACATAATATAATTTTGCTACTAACTAATAATTAAAGCCAAATCTCGTTCCACAGTATGGTTGCCTTTGTATTTTTATAAAAGGACAAAAATGAACAAGCAAGGTTAATCAAACACCTGTTTTTTGTTATTAATATATTGATAACATCTAAATTATGCCAAACTTAAACAAAAGCAATGTAGGACCAGTTTTTTTTACTATTAGCTAATAAATACACATTAACTGGGTATTTATGGCGTTAAATTTTGCCTACTTTTTTTGCTTTTGTCTAAGTTTAAGGTACCTTTCAATTTAGACTTTTTAGTTTTTAATAAAAGTAAAGGAATTTGTCATAAAAGATATAGTAAATGGAAGTGCCTTATCAACATCTCTGATATCTTAGCAATGAACATTGGTTTACGATACAACGATAAACAAAATGACAAAGAAAATACCTAATTAAAACTGGTGATCCACAACATACCCATGTTTAGGTGTGTACTTTATTGTGAAACAGAACAAATAATCGATCCAATGTATAACTGCAAATATCATTTTGTTATTTGGGTATTTTTAAATTATTTTATACAAAACTAAACGATTTGATACCGACATTTCGATAAAAAATTGTAAAAAAAAGTACGAATATTTATAATTATTAGCACACTTACTACGATTACGATTGGTAAGGAAAATAAAGATACCCATTTTAGATGTTTTTGTAACACTAAGGTGATAATTAAAATACTTGCAAACATTACGCCAGATGCGGATAAAGCAACGAAAATTCTTTATGAACGGAATGTTAATGAAAAAGTAACACTGGCAAGTAACCTCTTAATGCAAGTTTCTTGAGTAAATTCTTGACATTGGATGGGTATCTAGTATTCTAGTTTTTTACAAACATCGTGGCTACGCTTGCTATTTATTGTTCCAGAATAAATAGCAAGCGTAATCAAGATTACTTCTAATGATATCACATCATCAACAGCCTTTAATACTACACTTCTAGATATAGGTCTCTTCTTAGAACGGAGGTTTTGTCCTACTATACTACCTGGCCAGAGATATGCTGCCCTGAGTGTGGCCGCGGGTGGACGGGGTGGGTTTCCCCTCCACCCGCATTAGTTTGGCCAGCCGCGAGGGGGCGGCGTCCGCGTGTGCCGGACGTCGCCTAAAGAGAGGAAAATTTTGAGACGGAGCCCGCACTAGGAGCGGGCTGGCGCTAGGAGGGGTCCGGATGTCTTAATAACAGCTGTTCCCGGATCCCTCCTGTTACAGGCGCAGAGTGGCACACCGTGTGGCTTTAGTCGGTCCGAGTCCGACACACCACCCCGCCGCAAACCCCGGTGGGGTGACGGTCCGAGGGGATTTCCACACGTTAAAAAAAAAAAAAAAAGGGTTTGTGTCAAGTTTTCCTTCTCTTTGCAGTACTGTTTTCCTGCATAGTCTGCTCCCTTAGTCGGCTCTTACGACATCTACGGGATGTTTAGGGGTGGTGACACTCCGTATTTTTAATAAGTCACCAGACGGAAAATAGTATCAGTAATCTGTCAGTTTAAATCCCATGAAAATCGGTCCGTCCATCTCCAAGATTAGCCGTAAGAAACAGTCTGAAAGACAAAATGACAGAAAAATATATACTCGTATTTGAAGTTCGTAAGACCTGTAATGAAAAATAATTTCAAAAGAAATATAAATGTTATGCGTCTCTTAAAACGACTTTCTTACTAACTAATAACTATTTAGCGGTTACCTGTAACAGATCGCTGTTTAACAATAGAATCGCTATTTATACATTTTTAGTTTAAGGTGTACTTATAAAATAAGTTTAACTTGTTCTGTATAGTAAAGTGTTTTCTTTCATTCTTCTTTCTTTCTATATTGTTATTTTAATGTGATTATCGGTTTAATAGTGTTTAACTCTTATGTTTCAGCATTCATCATTTACTTCTCGCTTCTGTCTGCGTTCTTTTGGCTGAACATAATGTGCTATGATATCTGGTTTACATTTAGGTAAGAATAATATTTTCTTATTATAGACAATCCCAGAAACAAATAAAATTATTATTAATATCATATACTACGTTTGTCCAACCTTTAATTGTAAGTTTGCGGGATATATATTTTATTTAAACTAATATTATTAACCAAATAATGACCTGATACTAGTTTCAGTATTTTCACTAATTGATCTTGCCCAGTTCAGGATATTATGTAATTAAGGAATCGAAAACAGATCCTATTATTGAGGCCTGGAAACGACTTTTAACACATGTATTTATACACATCTTGTGCACACGAATCTGTATAGCTCAACTCCTTTAGCCTTAAAAGTGTTAAAACAATTCTATAAGGTAGCCATGACACTACATTGATTTTTATTTTTATGTATGTTTTAAAACTACATATATGTGAGACGTGCAACACACTTATAATTATATAATAATATAATATTGTACCACATTCATACAACGCCATCTAGTCCCAAACTAAGCAGACCTTGTACTATGGGTACTAGACAACTGATATAAATACATATAATTTGTTAATAATTAATTGTAATAACATATAATTGTCATAACGTTAAATACTTTATATTCTAGCGGTAAACGTGCGATAGGTGGGCGGCCATCTTCAGCTGGTGTGCGGTTCTTGTATTACAGTATATATGCATTCGGTATCCCACTGCTTCTGACTGTCTTGCTCGTAGTCCTAGAGTTTGGAGTCGACAATAACATAAGTAACCTATTGCCTCGTATTAGACTGCAGGGATGTTTCCTATTTGGTAAGTGTTTATTCTATATCTATATGAGTACTAATATTATAAAGCTGAAGAGTTGGTTTATTTGGTTGAACGTCCTAATCTCAGAAACTCCAGTAGTTTCTGAGATTAGGACGTTCAACCAAAAATAAAAAAATATCGAAAATAAAAAAATATTTTAGTGTTAAATAATGCGATAGGCTATCCATTACTAATATTATAAATGCGAAAGTGTTTGTCTGTTACCTATTCACGCTTAAGCCACTAAACTGATTTAGATGAAATTTGGTATAGAGATAGTCCGAGTCTCAGGAAAGGGGGTGAAAAATGGGGTGGAAGTTTGTATCAGGAATTAAGAACCGCTAAATCGATTTAGATGAAATTTGGTATGGAGATACTTTGATTCTTAAGAAAAGACATATGATACTTTTTACCGCGATAACCGATATTTACGCGGGCGCAGCCTCTGGCAAAAGCTAGTATAATATAACGCTACGACTAATAGGATCACAGCAGTAATGTAAAATCTTGCAAAAACGGAGATTTATTACTTTTGAGAGACGCAGGCGAAGTTGCACCTGTCACCCAGTTCTAAATATAAGTACCTACAGGATAAAAAAACACTTAGGTAATAGTACCGACTATTTCTATGTAGGTAGCACACATTTTCTTTCTCTCTTTCTCTCATAGCCTAGAAGCTTTACTTCAGTCGTCCTCTCCTAAAATTTTCTCTTCTTTATCAAGTAGCTATTAAGCAGTAAGAGTGTAATCAATAAACCATTTCCAAAATAATATATTGTCTTTGATGTTTATTACCATCAATAACTTTACGGATTCACTTAAATGTCGACATCTTAATTAAATACGTCGTTTTAATACTGTAGCTATCATAGGTGCATAACGAAACCGTACTGATGGATGTTAATTATGTTTTTAAATATTTCAGGGAACAGTAAAGTCCTCTATTTTTATGTACCCATATTAATATTGTGCGTGGCAAATTTGGTATTCTTCACATTGACGGCTATGAAAATAGCAGAGATAAAGAAACAGACCCAGGTGCTAAATAAGAAGGATAAACAAAGGTAAGAATTGCCTAAATAGGCCCGATAAGATTACAAGTTCGATATCATTTTTAATTTTCAAACTTATGTATATAGGGTTCTGTTTTAAGATTTTTTTTTAATTTTATACATAATCACACACGGCGGTCTGATCGTAAACTAGGCAGAGCCTGTGCTGTGGTGACCAGTATGCTGACAAACAAAATATTTCTAAATACCCACATATTATAGATAAGTCACACCCAGACATAAACCATATGATCATGCTAATCACACAATGATTGGTCTTGGATGGGAATCGAAGCCACGATCTCCGCCTTAGCAGTCAGAGTCTTTACCTTAACCACCAGGACAACAGACTCATTAAAACGTATTTCCATTAAAGTCTTTCGGTGGGTTTTAGGTGAACTTTGTCTCTCACTTATGCGTTTGGTACCTTCACCCCTTGTTAAAGAGTCTCTGTTGCGTTTAGTTTAGTCCCTGTCCCTATATCTGTAATAAATATAACTAACTAAAGTTTTTTATTGCACCAAAAACTTTCTCAAAACGATATTATTTAATAAATATGACAAATAACGGTGTATTGCGCTAGTATACATTGATATGTTACTTTATTAAATTAATTTTATAGAAATAGAATCGCAGAAACATAGACAAAAAAAAACAGAGAATGCCAGATTTCTGCTTTAAAATCAAGCTTAACGCTTGGTCTTAATAATAAGATTGGACTATCAAATCGTAAGGTTTAATAACTTGAATATAAATCTTAAAAAAAACTAAAACAACTAACTATAAATCTATATAGGTACATTGCAATCACATATTATTTCCAATGTTTTTTTCCCTCTGAACATAAATCGGAGTTCATTTTTCTTTCTGTTCTGTTCTAGGTTCTTGCTTTATATTAAGCTGTTCCTCGTGATGGGTGTCAACTGGATTTTAGAGGTTGTTAGCTACTTCTACCCTGAAGCCGATTACATTTGGAAGTTTACTGATGCCTACAACGTTCTCGTCGGACTTATCATTTTTATCATCTTCGTCTGCAAAGTAAAAACTCTGAAAATGATAAGACACAGGTGCGTTATGTGCTGTCTTTGTGTATCAGACGAAAATTATAACAAAACATATAATGATTTGTAAAGTTCACGTCCATGTTTTTATTAGGTATATCATAAATTACTTTTGGTTTTAGTATTACTGTGAATAAATATTTTCCAACGTCATTTGTCAATCTTGCAGATTGACGTTAAAAAATCAATTCTTTTACAGATACCTGTATAGTTCAAGGAATGTCAACATATTGTAATAAATCATGTGTAAAATATTGTAGTAAAAAAAATAAAATGGGAAAGTTTTGAAATATGTTTTTTCGCAATTATGTAGGTACATCGTATTTTAAGTCTTGCTTAATTGTATTGTATATCTAGTTTTATCTTGTAATACGTAAACAAACCATAAGAGTGACTAATTTTGTATTCAGGATTAAAAATTGTCAACGATCCAATGCAAACATTGGAGAAATGAAAGCTATCAGCCGTATAAAGCTGAGTCACTGGCGGAATGGGACAGGAATAAGATCCAGTATCGATACAATAAGAACCACAATCGGACAGGATTCTGATACCAAGAGTATCAGATCTGATAAATTGACTGACACGTTACATTCATAGCTACACTTCCCGTTGCAACCTACATATACTCAATTTAATCATTCGTACCAATTTCACAACATTTTATTATGCTAATAAGGTACATAGTGACAGTAAAAATTGCATTACACAATTCCAAACAATATACCGCTATACAAGCTATAGTAACTCGTCAATGAATAACAGAAAATAGTTTTACAACTATAGAATAAAATCAAGATGACGCCAAATTGGAACTAAGTTATGAATGTATAGGATGGAATATTATTTAAAAGGTACTTCTAAGATAGTTTAGATTTGGTTTGAGTTATTAACTACTTTTTTTTTTTAAATTAGAAAAGCAACTAATTTACAAAGAAGGAAAATTATAAAAAGCCCTCACTCAAGTGAGGGCTTTTTATAATGCCTGATTTGTTAGTCCAAGAGAAATTTTAGAATGGCTTTAGAGTGTAGAGATGTAACAAAACCATATTTTATAAACGCACCAATAATTAACCTACTCTATTTTTTCACTTTAAATAAAAATGGGTTTTTGGTGAAATATTTTTTAATTGTATTAAGATTGTGCACGACTAAAATTATTTTAACTGAGCTTTAAAGGGGGTCCGGAGAAATGAGAACATGCGTGAAAAATACTTCATAAGGCAAAGTACGTGGTTTATTAATAAAATATTGAGGTTACAAATGACTCGCTTTATAAATTCTATGCAATTGTGTTTAAGCTTGGTGCCGAAATAAATTTCGGATGATTGTTTTACACCATAATGAATGTATCTAGTAAAAACTAAATTAACATTAATGTTGCTTTTAGGTCTTGGCTTCGTAATTAATACTAATTAAATATTAAAATTAGCTCTACTAATAATTTATAAGGAATGGTTTAATAGAAGACATATTTTAAACTACTTAAGCTATGAAAAAAAAGGGTTAAAAGGATAAAAATGGAATGCTGAAAAGAGATAATAAATAATAAATTTGAAATTGTATTCATACATTTAGTATTCAAACAATATTTTTAAAAGTTTACTTCTTTATGAAGCTGTTTAAACATTATTATGCAACTAAATTGCTTAAAACGAAAAAATGCTCTAACAATAATAAATGCCGTGGCCTTCAAAAAGTGAATTGCATTATTGACTTAACGGAAATGGGAGCTAATAAAACAGCATTGTTTAGCATAGTAAGTCAATGAAGGATTTGAATTGATTTCGTTTTACTAAGACGAGCAAGAAAAACTGTGTGTGATTAATACAGCATGTAGAACTAGACGCTTCAATATATTCGTACTGCTAATTCTAACAGTGAATCTTTGGTTATGTTCAGGTACAGACAACAAATGGGCCTGCCACCGCTCTCTAGAACCCAAACAACGAACACATCTGTATCAACGCGTACATGTTCTCACTGCAAGGATGAAATAGGCATGCTCCCATTTTCAAATAAGAATTGAATATTTACTTTTATTAAATACTTTACTAGTCAAAGCAGCTCGACAAGGAAGTTAAGAAAGAATCTCGGTAGTCGAAAAATATATGTTTTTTTTTTCTAAATCACATACATTAAGATGTAAGTAGGGTAGTTGGTTAGTAAAACACGCCAACATATCATCGACTTATTTCCAGTTAGAACATCACAAACAAGATTTTAACATATAGCGAATTAAATGGAAATTATTGTGAATGCAAAAATACAAGAAATTAAAATGTGCAAATATAATCTGCCAAGCTCAGCCACTACATTTTTTTAGTAAGTCATAACTGTGGCTCTAAAATAACAAAACAAACCCACCAAAATAAAATAATTATATGCTTATAATACACAATATGATTACCTTTGATTATTAGTAAAAAAAATCAATCCGGTTGAAAAGAGAACATCTTTTTTACAACGTTTTTTTAGCATTATAAGTACTATATATTTGACTACCTCAATAAAAATATATGTCAAACAAAGACAAATACCCTATTTTTACGTCTAAATCTGTGATTTATCAAATAAAAATTAAATTTTGTTTTGCTGTTGACTGTTATATAGACTTGTTTAAATGTATTTAAAATACATTTTAGTGTACTTAATTTGATGTAATCTTATTTTCAACCAAATAATATTTTAATTAAGTATTAGCTTACATTTTGTATATAAAGTAATTCAATGTTTAGCGTACTTCGCATATTATGTTATGTTCAAACTTTTAAGCATTTTTTGTTAAACGATGTATAATTTAACTAAAGACACACACAGATAATAAATTTTTAATTTTTTTTTTTTTTGTAAAACGGTTAGCGATGCTAATAATGCATCTTGTTTAAAGCTTGATTTGTTTAGATAAATATACTCGCAATGTTTATTTCAACACATCAAAAATTCTTATTTTTTTCTTCATTCAGAATACGTGGTCGTTTCAAGAGCCATAGAAAAGAAAAGATATACATACAAAAAATTAAGTTTAAGACTTTTCAGTTTTTAAAAAGTTGTAACTATAAATTATGTAAATCATTACCAATTAATGGACGTGTGTACTTGTTGCTGACTATTCTTCACTTTGGTTGAAGTGTAATTAAAAAAAAGCTATTTATGTTGTTAATTAAGATAGTGTAGTATTACATCATTAGGATATTGTTGTGTCCTATTGTGGACGTGGCGGAATGAAAAATATGCAAATGTTAAAAAAAGGTATATGAAACAAAATAAATAATTTAATCTAACATTAATATGAAAAATTAAGTTTTCTGTCTGCACCAGGCATTTATAAAATACGTAAAATACTGCCGTTTTATCTAATATAAGTATGACATGATAATAGTTTTACATCGTTATGTATTTGTATCTTGATGCGTGTGAAATTATTACTCCTGTGTAATTATGAATGTGCTTCTTAATGGCTACGTCTTGGATAAAAATACATTATTTGTAAGTTAAAACTACATTTATAGATTAATTTCTTGTTGCTGGCTATGCAGTTTTAGCGTTAATTTATGTATCTATATTTATGTAGGTGTAGTAATGTTCTTAATCATGTAAGTAAAAGTAATCAATGAAATGGCTATTAAATTTAAAAAATACATTAAATCTGCCTGTTAAAACAAAACAGTTTGTTAACTGAATGGCATTTTAGGAGTACACATGTTGACTTATTTTTACTTGTTTGATATGTGATATTGTGGGACAGGACGAATGGATGGACGTGTTTAACCATGTCAGATGAAATGGGTATAGATTTTAAGATTAGTTGAAAAGAGACAAACCTCTCGATATCAGTCTCTGCTTCAATACTGTCACGCATTTATGAATATTTGACTCATTAAATAATTTGAACTATGTTATTTAGTGTTATATCTTGTAATTTCTAGTGATAGTCTATTTCTTTCCACATTACATTACTGAAGTACAATTGATTCATACCGCCTAAGATGTCAATATGAATTAATATTTACTTTATTTAAAAATTTACAATTACTTTACAATTAAAGGAAATATATTCGTATTTATAGAAATTGTATTGATTACAGAGATATAATTCGTCTTGATGTTTTCTTTTGAATGACACTGATTTCAAATTGATAAATGTTTAACGACAGTAAAATTGAAATAATTATTTCAATATTATATTTTTTCCAATGATAATGCTATATTTTTTTAAAGAAGATAAAAGAAATAGACAACATTTTAATAAAGTTTTTAAGTATATCTTGATCTCTTTTTTTACGCAAATGGCGTAAAAAATCCTCATTACTTTGTAAATTGAAGTATTTGTATTATAAGTTTAAACAAATATACATTATGTATACATAAAATAAAATATGTGTCATTCTCGTCGTGGTGTTTTAATTTTGCACAATATTACTATTTAAAGATAATAATAAAATATTATCATAAACAATGAGACATGTACATAAAGCTAAAAAATAAAAAACAAACTATAAACAGTAACTGAAATGTTCTCGTATCAGTGCTCTTAGGCAATCTTAAAACCTTTAATATACTTAAAAATGTCGCGAGCTGAGGAAAATGTCGCGTGATACCACGGCCTCACAGAAGATCAGTGTAATGCAATTCCTTCTTTGCTTTCCCCTTCCTTCTCCTCCCGGCAGGAGTGGCAGCTGTCATGGCCAGCGGTAGGCACTTAAAATCAGGTGACTCATCTACTCGTTTCTCGGCATAGGAGAACATGGCAAAAAAAGAGAAGGACTCCTCTCGTACTGCTTAAACCTCGCTTGGCACCTGGCAGACCCATAGAAATCGTAATAATAAGACACCAGAAGGCGCATGTACATTGTCGCCGCGATTATGTGTAGACAAATACCACTTACAGAAATTCACACTATTCGTGATTTAGTTGCCCGTCGTATGTGCATTTTTATTGTTAAAATAGTGAACTGCAGCATAATGGGTTATGAAAACATGCCAGGGACGTGTAATTAAAAAAATAAAGACATCATTTCATCGGTAAGTTTATTTTTTACTAATAAATCATTGTTTTTACTAATTTACATCTCGAGGAATACTTTAATGAAATATCTGCTACTAAGTGCTGCTTATGATCTTATTGCACGCGATGTTGATAATCTAGCCAAGCAATGTAATGTGAAATATGAGATAACGTTGTGTATACAAGTATAACGTTGTGTATCTTATCTATACAAGTAAATAAAATTGGAGTGTCTGTTTGTAATATTAAAATAACCGCTTTTTACTAAATGCATATGTATGTTTACACGGTACATTTGCCAAAATAACATTTTTTACAATTGTTGTCTGTCTGTCTGTCTGTCTGTCTGTCTGTTTGTTCCGGGTAATCTCTGGAACGGCTGGACCGATTTCGACGGGACTTTCACTGGCAGATAGCTGATGACATAAGGAGTAACTTAGGCTACTTTTTTTAGACTAGCTTCGCCCCGCGGGCAACGCCGCGGGGCGAAGCTAGTTTATAATACGGCTGCAGGCATCGGTTGCCAGTTAGTGACGTAACTGTACCATTCATTTAAATTAAAGTACAGTTTATATCGATGTTAGTATAAAGGGAACATTAAAAAACGAAACAAAATATGCAGTTAAAATATTTTTAATATTAATTTTACAATAATTTGTCTAGGAATTTTATTATTTGTTTAAGCATGCTGACAAATGTAAATAAAATTTTATCTTTTAATATTATTAATTTATTTAAAATTATAATTAATTTCTAGATTCCTGAAAGATCTTGATGTTAAAGATTTTTTTTTTAATATTTTTTTTTATTTTACGGGTCAATAAACTCATTTCTTAGAGTTGCTGATAATATCAACTGCTAGAGATACTTGCTAATATAATTAATTATATTTCCAAACATAGTGTTAGGAATAAGAATATTACACAGTTGACGACTATGTAAATATAAAAAAAGGAAACTACTCTGTCTATTCCTTACTTCTTAATAACTTATTTATAGATTAATATATGTCTAATTGTCACGAGCAGGAACTATTTATTCAGTTGTAGTTTATTATTTAAATTTTTTGTTTCAGTGAGTTTTCGTGTTTTTTTAAATATTATTGTTTCATAAGTGTACGCTGTAACCTGGTTTAAGTAATAAAGTATTTTAACAGTTAATGTATAGCTTCATTTATATTCATTAGATTAAATAATACCATTCATTTATAAGTATCATTACTGTAATTTTTTTTATAAAAAAATAGTATACCTATACTCGTATCTATGGTTTTTATTGCTACGTGTAATCCATTTTTTTCACATACACCAAAGAAAAGAGGTTGTTGTGGTGTCACATAATACATTGGTGTAAAATTCACTGTAATTCCTGGAGATTAAGGTTCATAATAGTTTGTGCAGTAAACATTTCACCATTGTTTTGCAATTGTGTGCGAGTCATATCTATTTGTGTCAGTGCTGACTGACTTTACTACACAGGCAGAGGCAGGGAAGGGAAACTGCAGAGTTACCCTTCCCTGCCCCTGCGGATGCCCATAGAAATATTGATTATGTAGGCAAAGTACTGAGACATACTTCAGTCCTTGAAGATTTTAATTCAAAATGAAAGTATGTACACAACTATATTGTAGATATTAGTTACACAAGGTATTCTTGTAGATTATGCAATGGATTACTGAAAGTGGTGTAATAACGGAGTAAGAATACGGAGTGTCACAACCTCTATTCAATCCGTGGGTATCGTAAGAGCAAACTACGCAAGACAAAAGCACTACAAAGATAAAGAAAACGTGAAACAAACCCTACACCAACCTGTCAGGCCAACGTGGTATTGCAGGTCAAAACCTCCTTTCTAAGGAGAGGCCTACGTCCAGCAGTGGACTACCAATGGCCGTTGATATGATGTGATGTGTGATGTCAAAATTAAAATGGCGTTGGTGTCATTATTGTTATCAACATAGGCCTCATTTAAAAAGTATTTTAAATGATAATAGACGCAAACACAACTGTATTTTGGTTCATCTTGGGGACCCACACATCCCTGGCTCTGGTTCCGTGGTCATAATTACAATCTTATTCAAAATAAAAGTACGTCATCTCACTTGAATTTAATATATCATGTTTAAACATAAGTATATGTTTTATCTTTATAAATACATAAGCATTTTAAATATGCCTTCCTCAACCAGCCTCTGACACCAACTATTTCTATATTGATGTTATATCTCCACTTTTTACATAGAAAATTGATTTAAATTTCAGAAAGCCATCTTTACATTTGGCTAGTAACTCCTTAGTCATCTCCCATACACTTTTATCAATCACAAATGTTACGAATATAACGGGTCCAATACACATAACAAAGTAATAATGTGTATCGTAGTTGACGTCAGTGTCGGGGCTTAGAATAGCCACTACCTTCAACACCAAGAAGACAGTGAGCAAAACTAAAAGCTTCACGTATTGGGCGGTTCTGTAAAAATATATTTTGTTATTGAAAAAATATATATTAAAAAAAATACCATTCGTCATGAAAACGTAAGAACAGGTCGGTAAATATTACATAAGAAAAATAGATAAGCAGACTTACACTTAATATGAAAGTTGTGAGTGTTTATCATGAGCCCACAGCCAGCTAAATCAGTTGAGAGTTAACGATCCTATTCTAAGCTTCTTATTACAGATTCTACATTTCAACTTTTTAACTTTACCAAATCAAAAAAATTATCTTATTCATTCCTTTACTATTTTACTTGTACAACCTCTTATTTAGGTATTACGTATTTGCTCGTTTACCCCGTTATACCCCGTTTATATCATAAAATACAAACTCACTTTCCTATTTGTAACATAATATACTTAGAATTAGTTGGTTTATGTTTTAAACATGATTAACTTTCACTGCTTGTAAAGTTGAGGTTATTTCGTTTCTAGCTTTTCCAATGTAAAGTTCACATGTTTCAAATAAAAATAAAACATTTCCACAATACCTGCTTAAAGGACTTTTCAGGATTTTTTGATAATTACCCGTAACTGACTTTGGGAAGACTTTTGTTTTTTTATAAAATCGAATAACATTTGTAATACATATTATCCAGTTGAACAACAATAATAGCGATATGGGTATGTAGAGGTAGTACAGAAGTTCTGACCCTGAAATAACAGAAATTATGACGTTTAGCTTTTATAAATAACCTCCTCAGCTAGACTGTTCAAAGAATTTGCATTAAATATGACAGATAATGAAATCCTACGACAGGGTCAAATAAGAGGACGAAAAAGTATTAGTAGTAAATAAATTAGGTACATATTATTACAGATTGAGTCCATGTCAATGTCCTATTAGGTATTATTTTAACATTTATACCTATAAAATCAAATCAAATCAATTACACAAAGGAGGTTTTCAATTCGCTGCTTTACCTATTGTTTTTTCTGTGTTACGTGATATCTTCGCTATCTGTTAAGGGATGTCGTTTTTTTTTTAATTTAAATTAGATGTAGTTAAATTAATTATTAAACACATGTACATCGGAAGGAAAAAATTCACATCTAATGATGAAAAAGGATCAAAGTACACCTCAATAGAATTTAACATGTTTTAGGCGCAAGTCGGTAATTCCTTCATTGAAAAGTTTATTATAATAAATTAAATTCACCAATTCTGGGAAACATATACTTTAGGCTAACAGCAAAGATGTAATCTAGACCTGTTTCAAAAAGTCCTCTGAAAATTTTTATAACTTACCGTCGACCAACATAGTATTCATTTGAACTATTTTGGGTGTAACAAACCACCTAACATGCTTCATGTCAAATATCTCAGTACCTATTACTAGCAGAGTTAGTAATAGTGGGAGACCGAAGGCATAAATACAATATTTCAGTAATGGTACTTTTCTCGTCTCTAAGGTGCCAATTAGATCACCGCTTGAAAAATTTCTGGAAAATAAAATAAGTTTTATCACACTAATATTATAAGAGATGATGATGATGAGAAGATAATTTGTGAGTTTGCGGTTGCATGTTACGTCTTCACGCTCAAACGGCTTGACCAATTTTAATAAAATTTGTTATTGAGGTAGCTGACACCCTTGATTAGCACATTTGATTAACTGGTCTTTAATTATTATTTTTTATTATAATTATGATGGTTTTCAAAAAAATACAGAACACAATGACAGTGATATCTACACATATAAAAAATCCTTCTAAAAGTGGATAATGTCAAGTAAATTGCCGTGGGAGAGCCTTGTTTCGACACAAATGGGCTGGCACGGCGGGAGTGATACCCGGGCCTCATTCAAAACGAATGTTTAGCAAATCTTTCTATACTTTTCAGCGAGTGAGTGAAGTTACCGGAGCCGAAACCTTCCTCAACCTGATTCTGAGAGGAACGACTCAAACTCAACTTGTGATTCATGAGACGATGTCTTTAGGCAGCGGTAGTCATTTACTACCATGTGATACATCTCCTCGTTTGCTCCTATACCATAAATAAAAGATAATAATCATCATCATCAGCCTATCGCAGTCCACTGCTTTACATAGGCCTCTCCCATTTTCGGCTTCTCGCATCCAGCTTCTACCTGCCATCTTGCGCAGTTGGCCGTCAAGATAGGTATAAAGCTATAGAATAACGTAAATAAACATACCTTTCCAAGTTAAGGACACGATAAAACATTATATTTGTCCAACAAATACTTGACGTGAAGGAGAAATAGATTATTATACCTAAAATAAGACAAAGTATTAAAATAATTAAATTCATTTTAAACATATCTGTTAAAACTTGATAGATAAGTAGTTACAAGAAATACAATCAGAGTAAAACAGTAATTATAATAATTAATAATAATAACCTCACACATCTCTCACACAGGGAAGTCTGATCCCAAACTAGGCAGTGCCTGTGCTATGGTAACCAGCCTGCTGATAAACATACTCTCGACCGCTGGCTTAGCCGTCAGGGTCGCTAACCTCTAGACCAACAGGCCTGTCTTTTATTCACTATTACTAGTAAAAAGTAATTTGTAAAGCATAACAGTTTAATTTTTGTCTCTTATATACTTATTTTTATAAATCTAACATTCAAACACCATAAAGGTACAGAAAGTAAAATATTCAAACAAAAGTTTACTGTAATTCTTATTTTTACATTCATTCACATTTTGACGGGCCTGTTGGTCTAGTAGTTAGTGATTTTGACTGCTAAACCAGAGGTCAAGAGTTCGATTTCCACTCAGGACAAATAATTTTGTGATGAGCATGATCATTTGTTTTGTCTGGGTATTTTTTGTCTACAATATGTACGAGTATGTGTTTGGAAATATATAAGTATACTTTTGGGATCAGATGGCCGTGTGTGAGACGTGAGTTAAAAAAAACTTAAAAGTAATTTTTTAGTGACCTCTGCTAATGTTCTCGATTTATACTTTAACTAATTTGGCCATAAAACTCTCTAAATCATTTAAAATTCTTTTTGATTGATAATACACAAGTGGTCTAAAAAGTTTCCGACCTCAACACGAAGATGGCAACAATCGTGAATAAAAGCTAGTGAATTTCGTTGTTCATCTGTTGACTCACCAAAGTTTCAGCCATTTTGGACACGCAGTTGTTATGTAACCGCCGTTTGAGTGAGTTGATGTGAGTGTTTTTATGGAAATGGACAAAATCGAGTATCGAGCTATCATTAAATATTTGTTTCTGATAGGTAGTACGCCTACGCAAATCAAAGATGAGTTGGATTCTGTGTATGTTTACTCTGCACCATCATTTACAACTTTGAAATTTTGGGCAGCTGAATTTAAACGTGGCCGAAAGAGCTTGGGAGACGATGAACGTTCGGAACGTTTACAAACTGCGACTACCGACGAAAACATCGCCAAAGTTCACCACTTTATACTAAACGACCGCCGAATTAAAGTGAGAGAGATAGCAGAGGTTATGAACATGTCAAAAGAACGTGTCACATATTAAATCAACATTTAGACATGAGAAAGCTGTCCGTGTGTTGTGTGCCGCGTTTGCCCACGTTAGACCAAAAACGTGTTCGAATGAACATTTCCAACGCTCTGTTGGCGCAGTTTAGGCGCAATAAATCCGAGTTTTGGCGCCGATTAATTACTGTAGATGAAACTTTGATACACCATTATACGCCCGAAACAAAAATACAGTCCAAACAGTAGACTGCAAAGGGGGAACCGGCTCCAAGAAAGGCTAAAACTGTTTTTTCAGCTGGGAAACTGATGGCGACTGTTTTTTGGGATATTCATGGACTTATTAAATCGATTATATCCAAAAAGGAAAAACCATTACAGGAGCATACTACGCATCATTACTTGACAAGCTGAAGACAGAACTTGCGGAAAAACGGCCACATTTGCAAAAAAAGAAAATCCTTTTTCACCAAGACAATGCACACCTCAGCGGTTGCCATGGTGAAAATCCACGAATTACGGTTTGAACTGCTTGACCATCCGCCTTACTCACCAGATCTAGCCCCGAGCGAAAAATTGCGCTCGGAGGAGAGAGATTTTTGTGAAATGAAGAGGCACAACCTTCGTGAACAATTATTTTGCAGAGAAAAACGCCGAGTACTATTTGGATGGGTTACAGAGATGAGAGCATCGCTGGGAGAAGTGCGTAGAGTTACAAGGAGATTATGTTGAAAAACAAAAAAAAACTGAAAAAAGATCTTGGATCTTTGTTAGGTCTGAAACTTTTCAGACCACCCTCGTACACATATCTATACTGGGTTCTGGGGTTTTATGAACACATTATTTTATAAGTACGTTATGATAATAATACATACCTGTGGTTAAAGTTTCTTCGACATTAGAACTTGAACTTATTAAATGTAGTCTAATAGCAAAAGGCATTATAAATAATACGAGGAAAAGAATTAGAATTAAACCGTTGTAGTCTCTTAGCCGTGGTAATAAACAATAAGGTAAAATGGTCAATACCAAAAATCCAGTGGTAATGGCCAAAGCTGGAAAGATTTTCATACAAAATGTTAGTAAATTTTTAATCAAACTATTTTAATCAAGATACTATATTTTTACAACAAAGTTTTCAAATATGCATTCTGCATTTTCTATCGTATATATCATATACGATAGAAGATGCAGGATCAGACTGCCGCGGTAAAGCTATTGCATAGCATTTTTTATCAACTTATGCAATAATAATTATTTATTTATTTTTTCCTTTGTTTTTTTTCTTTGATATTAATTAGATTGCGGGGCGAAGAGGGGGATTACGCATGCGCAGTAACGCCGATACAACCAATGCCACCTGGAGGCGAGTTGCCGAACTAAAAGTTCTGCTATTCATCGATCGATGGCAAAACTAAAAAGTATCACGTGGGGTGTGTTAGGTTATTTTCGTTACGGAATTTCTGGATTCGGTCTCCACGCTCAAGGCCCGCGATAGAAGCTATGCAATAGCTTAAAAAATCACTAGTTAGGGGTAAATTTTACGTCGCTAGAGATAAGCATGGGTCGTCATACTTTTAGTAGATTACAGCTTTTTACACGTTTGGGAACCCCTCGGGCCGACATCCACCAGGGTTTGCGGCGGGGCGGTGTGTCGGAATCGAATCCGGGCTCCTCACAGTAATTACCCTAATAGCGCTGGTCAACCGTTGTGTTTTTACGGGTCTAATTGCAATCGTACTGATTAAGATTACAAAAGTAAGTACAGTGATGAGTGAAGACCTGTATTGCATGCATGCATTTGCACTTCCTCCTCTTTAATGTTTATTCACTATAGGCGAATTCAGTTACAGTTATTTATATATGAGTGATCGTATTTATGTTGTAAATTGCAATATGGCCACGGATTAATATTGCCCTATAACATGTTACAGATTTAAAAAAACTTTCAGGTATTTTTATAGTAAGACAGGACACACTTTTGATGGTTCTGAGTGTAAGTTTATCTCACATCAACTCGCTCTCAACGGCGAGCGCGTTTGACGTTGTAATTGGTGAAGATGTTAGTGCGGGCCAATCAAATCAAAGTGGAATAAAGTTATGCCCTCAGAGGCCCTAGTGTGAATTTATTTCACATTTACTACAGCGCTGCCGAGTTGATGTGAAATAAACTCGCACTAGCGCCTCTCATGTGTTTGTATATTCTTCTGATTCGTATAATTTTTTACAAAGAGAAATGAAGATTAAGTTCTGGACAAGCTCTGGAACACACTCATACTTTTGTCTGGCCTAAATCACGTGACGGTAATGGGAATGTCAGCCCAGTAACAAATCAGTGTCATATTTTTGTTACGATGTAACTTAACAAGTTACTCGTAACTACGAATAATAATATCATTCGTAGGTAGCTAAGTAGACGTGTCACTAGATAGTAAGTGACTTTCACTGCCCATAGACACCCGCATGTGTTCCGAAAGTGAAGCAGGTACTGCTAGAAATATACCAATTTGACTGCCTCGATGGTGTAGTAGTAGTGTAGTAGCTTATGCGAGTGTTGTGCTGAGGCTGAACGAGACCGAAAAATGTGTAACAAGACTATTATTATACTATATTTACAGTCATGTATAGCAAACGTCTACCAAATAAGCGAAAGGAACTTCGTTCCGACCGAGGGTCCATTGACACCTTACGCCGTTTTATTTATTCCTACTTCTTTAAGTGAAGTGTGCAATGATTTCGGACTGAGGCCTATTGATAAAGTAATGATTGGTATGATTTTAACCGTTGATGTAATATCTGTCCTATTTTATCCGCATCTTTTGTATTTATTTTTGTGTATCTTTTCTTTAGATTCTCTGCTTTTGGGAATTGACATATTTATGAAATAGGTAGTTATTATAATGGCTTTGAATAAACAAAATCTTACCGAACACGTTATTGACTGTTATCTTATTAAAGTTTTCTATTTCGACATCTGCCATGAAAATTGGTTTTCTTGTATTCCGTTTTGATATCATCTCTACACAAAAACTATCAGTTTTGACCAAAAACCATCTGCGATATGTATTTGGGAATTCTATGTAAAGGTTGCCGTCCTGAAACAATGTGTTTGTATTTTTTTATAGTATTATAACCTTGACCTGTTAAACACGTCGAGGTGAAGGTTTAATAGGTCAAGATTAGGCCACTTATCTTACTTAACTCTGAAATTAATTAAAATTCACTAAATTTACCTTACCTACATTTTAAAGCAGGTACAGCAGATCATTCGCTACATCTTCGAATATAGGTATTACGTATGTTAGTTTCAAAAGAGGAAAATAGTTTGCAAAATAGTCATCATCATCAACAGCCTTTAATTGTCCACTGCTGGACATAGGCCTCTGCTTAGAAAAGAGGTTTTGGCCTACTATACTACGCTGCAGCGTTGGCCAGATGGGTTGGTATAGGGTTTTTGTCAAGGCCCCTAGATAAGACGGAGGTCCTCTTATTTATTTATTTATTTATCGTGCCGTCGTGTTCCTCCCCTCTGGTGGTGACTCTTCGAAGAGCACTTCCGACAGCTTGCTCCAAAGCTGATCAGCGTTGCTTCTGCCCTGGGGCGACTTTTGACCAATTTAGGTGGTGCCAGCGTCGCTACAAGACGGCTGCCCATGTGGGTTGTCCGGTCAATGGCGCTGTACGGTGCACCGGTGTGGGCGGCGTCTCTGACCGCCCAGAATAAGGCACGCCTCTAGCGCCCTCAGAGAATATTGACGGTTAGAGCCATACGCGGTTACCGCACCGTTTTGACAGAGGCGCGCGACAGAGGCAGACCGCTCGCCGAGCCACAATGGTTCGTTGGTCATCCCGACTGGAGGCTCCACGCGCCGGATTTGCCGTCGTGGAGGCGCTCCAGCCGGTTATCGTCGAGTGGGCAAGGCGGCAGCACGGGACCCTTTTCTTCCAACTCACGCAGGTCCTTTCCGGGCACGGCTGTTTTGGGAAATACCTGCACACGGTCGCAAGGAAGAAATTGAGTCCCGCCTGTCACCACTGCGATCACAGTGAGGACTCGGCTCAGAACATCGGATTTGTCGCTGTTTTACGGCCGTTATACGCTCCATGGCCGGTAGTGACAGATGTTTTAACGCTGTAGCATCCTTCTGCGAAGACTTCATCTCGCAGAAGGAGGCGGCGGAGAGGGCTCGGGAGGATGACCTCCACTCGCACCCAATTCGCCTCTGGCGAACCGGGCGGCGTAGGCGCGCTTCCCAGCGCCGCCTAAAGTGTGGCTACGGGTGGACGGCACGGGTTTCCTCCTCCATCGGCTATAGTGGCCAGCTGCGAGGAGGCCACGTCCGCGTGTGCCGGACGTCGCCTAAATCGAGAGTTTACCCAAAGGTGGTGCCCGCACTGTTGCGGGCAGGCGCTGGTAGGGGTCCGTATGTCTTTTTATCAGCTGTTGGGACTAACCCCACCCACACGCCCACCACTGTAACTCCTGTACACCAGGATCCACAGCAGTGACCCACGAACACACCGAGTTATGACACTCGGGAAGTCCCAGGATGAAATTAAACTGTCTTGGAACCCGCAACGAAATTAATGAGAAGAAAATTGGAGGAGTTGGAAATACAGTAAATCCACTTCCCTCCTTAGCAAAGCGGGAGACAAAATGAAGTAAAATGGGCATACACCCTTTTAAACAGGGAAGCACCACGGCCACGACATATTACGGGTCCTACGTGAGCTATATTTGATTTCTATAATATGTATGGCAGAATCGCCTAAACGCACGGAAATTCACCCTAGTTGACACAAGATCCCCATAGTATACCGCCCCAGATGTCACCTGCAAGCTATTCAGCATTGTATTACGTTCATTATACCAAAGACGACATTCCCAGAGGATATGATGAGCAGACTGTTCATAGTGAGAGTTAGGTGTTGAGCATTGACACAATGGTGACTCGACTAATTTAAATGAATAAAGCTTGCTCTTAAAGTTACCATGACCCGTAAGAAATTGAGCGACACAGTGATCCACCTCAAGCCATGTCCTCGACAACCGTTGGCGAACAGATGAAAAGAATTGGTAAAGATGGCGCCCCTTGGGTGATTCATCCCAGCGTTGTTGCCATTCGTCTATGAGGTCATTATAGACATCGGACTGCTGTTGAAGCAATCTTGTAATTTTACCGGAATGTAAATGTAATTCGACCGGAAGCACATATACCGATCGGTTGACGGGACAGGTGGCTGAGCTTAGCACACAGTTCGCCCATTTCCGATCTCAGGCGGATAACCTTGAGCGACAGGGCCCAGCTCAACAGCAGCCTAGCCCCCCTCACAATCCCGGGGACGTCTCTGATGCCCACCTGCACCAAATACTTGACGCGGTGGAGCGTATGTTAGACGGGCGTCTCGCGGGTCTTGTTCGACCGCCACTCCACGAGTTTGTTTACCCTTTCTTCTCATAAGGCTCAACCCCTTGGAAACGGGCGGTTGTAGATCGACACAAGCATATCATAGATTTCGTATGGGTTTGATTTTTGTTTGCTATTTGACAAAACAGAGATTGTTGCTTTTGTGTGTGTTGATCTATGACTTTAGAGTCTACATGGAAGACGATTTCAATCAATTTTGGAAATTTTATGAAATAAATAAAGTTTGAGTTTAAGTTTGACTCGCAGGGGGCAGCCGGAAAACCACTGTAGCGCTGATTGCACTTCCTGTTAGGGGTGGTCGCGTAACGTATACGGCGGCGACGTCGGCATCCGCACCTGTGGCCACACCGAAAGCAGGACGATCAGCAAGGCAGCGGCAAAGAAGGCTGAACCGCGGGAAAGACAGGAGCGGAATTCACTTCGCTCCCCACTCCCACGCCACTCAAACAATGGGTGGCAGGTAGTCGAGGGGGGGGGGGGTGGCTTGTGTCGTGGAAAAGATTCATGAGCTGGGTCTGAGGGTGGCGCCTCAGAAAACTGAGGCGATATGGTTCCATGGCCTACGTAAGCGCCAGGAACCACCCAGCTCATGCCTCCGGGTGGGTGACGCTGAAGTCCAGGTGGGCCGGTACATGATGTACTTAGGCCTCATCCTGGACAGTCGGTGGAGCTTCAAAGAGCATTTCGTGCGATTAGTCCCCCGAGTGCGCGGGGTAGCGGGTGCACTGCATCGCCTGCTGCCCAATCTCGGAGGACCACGGGAAGCAGTTCGCCGTCTCTATATGGGAGTCGTGCGATCCATGGTCCTCTATGGGGTGCCCGTCTGGTCTAATGACTTGGCGGGTGCCTCCCGCTGCAAGGCTCTACTCAGAAGCCTACAGCGGTTGATGGCCATACGGGTCGTACGGGGTTATCGTACCATCTCGTTTGAGGCGGCGACGGTCCTGGCGCGATATGTCGAAATCGATAATCGATAATGTCGAAGGGTGCTTCGACATTCTGGCCGACATGGACGCGATGGTATATGACCAAGTCCGTTCTGTCGGTCGGAATGGTGAGGAGGCCGCGCCGGATCATGAGCCCGGAATGCTACGGCGGAACGCGCATACGCAGGCTCTGCGAGCGTGGCAGGCACGGCTTGTAATCCAGGGCTGTGCTAGCCAATGCGCCGTCGGAGCCGTTCTGCCGAGCTTCGAAGCGTGGGTAGGGAGGAACGACTGTATCACCTACCGATTGACTCAGATGCTTACCGGGCACGGTTGCTTCGGTGAGTATCTGAATCGAATTGGACGGGAGGCCACGGCACAATGCCACCGTTGCTGGTCCGACCGGGACTCCGCCCAGCACACGCTGGAGGACTGCCGTGCATGGGAGTCCGAACGTCGAGTCTTGGTCGGACAGATCGGACGAAACCTGTCACCGCCACCATTAATCGCGGCAATGCTGGCGAGTGGCGAGGGATGGGCAGCCGCGGTCTCCTTCTGCGAGGACGTTATGCTCCAAAAGGAGGCCGCAGAGCGGGATCGGGAGAGGGCCGATCCCGCTCGAAGGAGGCGGCGAAGGGGACGTGGCAGAGGTCGCTAACTCCCCAATCGCCGCCTAAGGGTCGCTGCGGCCACATCTTGGGGCGATGTGACCGCTGTAAACGACCCGAGACAGATGACACTCCGGTGCGGCCGGGGGCTGTCGTCTAAGGCGGGATGCTGTTGCGCCTTTTACTCTATAGAACAGTGAGAGGCGCGGTAGCATCCTGCCCCAGGGTGACTTCAATCACTCCGGGATGTGCCTCAGACATGAGGTACGGCAGGGAGGACTCCAGAAGTCGCCGATGCGTTAAAAGGTAGTCGGGGGCACCAATAAGTTTCGAAGGCGGGGTGAGAAGGCTACTCCAAAAGCAGCCTCTACAGTCGGATACAGTGGCCACAAAGAGGCAGCCGCGCAAGCTACAGGTGCCTTAATCCGCGGCTGTGGTGGTTACCGTGTCACCGGAGGCGGTTAACGGCGGGCTGTCCTATGCGGCGGGCTATACTATCCTAGGGTGCCCTCGTACCTGAGGCGGCTAGTGGCAGACTACTTAGAGGAGCGTACCGTCATGTACGAGGACGATGTTGGCCCATGTCGTACGGTGTTCCGCAGGGGTCTGTTCTCGGACCACTCCTGTGGAACATGGGTTACGACTGGGCCGAGGTCGCCTTCCCCCCCGGGCTAGGCATTATTTGTTACGACGATAACACGCTAGTTACGGCCCCGGGGACGGACTTTCTAGAGGACGCGCGCATAGCCACCGGGGGAGTCACTCTGGTGGTCGGGCGCATTGAGGCGCTGGGCTTACGGGTGGCTCTGGGTAAGACGGTGTCCGTCTCCTGCGCCTCCTTCGTGGTTGATTCAGTCCTCGTACCGGTTCTTTTCCTTCGCCTTACAGCGCTTTTGTCCTGCGGAGTTTGCTTCCTTAGTCTGCTCTTATGACACCCACGGGATGAAAAGGGTTAGTGACCACTCCGTATTCTTACTCCGTCACCCCACGGAAAAAATTGTAAATGCGACTTATTACGTTACTTACCTCATTGAGATATGACTCCGCGATTATTGAAACCCGAAATGAATTCTTTAAAAATAATTCATTTCTCATGAGCCCGGGCACTATTTCAAAAACGGATTCAAAAGATTTCTCAGTCCTTTTAAATACTGAATCGTACACATTTATATCTGAAAGAGTTATGTTTGAAGGAATACATTTCTTCCGCGGTATCATATGCATTCCTGAAGGACAACATTTCCATATACACTTTCTTTCCTGCGACTTACAGACAGCACTGATCTTAACACTCGGAGATTCATCATTGTCTGATTCACTTATTCCATACCCTACATTTACAAAGGGATAATAAATTGCACTATTAAACTGTATTAAAATCAGAACTGTTATAACAATATAGTCTAGTTTCATGATGACCGTTCCTAATACTAAACCTCGTACATACATGTCGTATTACATCACTCAAGTAGGTAACAATACAATTTTAACCATAAAGATATGTTCCGGGCTTTCCTGTCCTGATTCTCCATAAATTAGTTCTTGTGAATTCATCTGCTTGGCATTAATTCGTGTGTATGGGTGTATTTAAACTAAATCATTATATTTCAACTGTTTCTACTCGTATATAGGTATAGAAATAAACTGTTATTAAACTTAAATGTATGGTAACAAATTTATTATTTAAGGATAATAAATTGTTATTTAAACGTTAAATAACAAATTTAATCTAAAATTGATTGGTAGGTTTTTTTAAATGTAACTAGTATATTAGTAAAAAGTGATGTAGAAAACTAAAATTGAAGTTTTTAGTTTATTATTTTTCTGCTATGATTTAATGACTTCAATGATGATGTTAAAAACCTCACACAGGCCCGTCTAACCCTGAATAGAGTAGAGTCTGTACTTTAAACAAAACTCGTAATATACTTACTTGTATTTATAACTACATACACATACATACATAGATAAAATAGCGATATGTTTCTTTTCTGTTTCAATGATGATTCTTTTATAATATGATGATCCGATGACAAAAAATGACAATCTAAATTACATTTTGTTTATTACGTTTGAAAATCAATGTGTTGGTTTTAGGGATAAAACTGTTTCGGAGCAGGACAAACAGGAAAGCGGATGGTATGTAAGCTGGTATATGGCTGCATACCAATCATAAAACACAGGTAGGTAGGTCCTCGTATATTAAATTAAGTAAAATTATAAGTCGATTTTGAAGGTTTCTACGGTATGAAATGAGAGGAAAACATTTTTTCGACTGCAGCTTTGTCTATCAAGTATTTTTTTTAAATGTAACGTAACATATCTTATCTCTCCGGTTTTCTATTACACTTCCACAGATTGCAGAAAAAAACAGCTGTCACATATCAACAAGGCCGTAAAAGTCAGATTATTGGTATCTATGTCTGATTAAAAAAAAACAGGTTTTTTGCAGCCTATATGTTTTATTTGACGCCTCTAGAGCCAATCGGCGTGCCCGGTGCTCGGTTGCCCAAATTGTTCCTTCCACTTCTCCACGAGGACCTAACGGAGTTGAGAGTTCTGGTCCTTGATTTATTGAGCCACAAGGACTCTCGCCTCCAGGTCCCACGGTGGAGTTCCGGCCAGGAGACTCAGAGGAGATCGTGCGGATACCTTATGATCCTGATGGCCAGCACTTGCTGCGGTCCTCTAATAATAATACTCCTATTTTATGGTAGTTTACATAGTTATACCAAAAAAATATTGCCCTTAATGTCATTTATCTAAAAACGGATTTTTTGCCATTTTCCAATTAAAAATGAAATTTGACATTGAGGAAGTTCATGAAGTTGAAAATTGCTAGCAGATATTTTTTTAATACTTATTACATATAAATGATAAAAATAGGTGTCCAATTAATTCCTTTCTTAATATTCGTAATCAGCGGGAATTACTTCAAAAAATTGTTTATATTAACCAATAGTGTTTGCGGTACATTACAATCTGTGGAGGCTACATTCAACTAATTTGATTATATTCGTTATGTGTCACCAAACTGTAACATAGAACGTTTACTTCAGAACTTGAACTACAAGTTACGTAATTATAGTATGATTGACTATAGCATTATTATGTTGGGAGAAATAGATTTGAAAGCTTCATGTACTGACCATATAGCATTGATAAAATCTATTAGGGAAGCCGTACAACATATTTCTAATACAAACATAATTATATGTTCACCTACCTATATATGTGGCGCTCCCATATATAATTACAAAATAGAATTATTTAATAATCTTTTGTCTTTAGAGCTTCAAAATTATGCCTATGCATACTTTTATGATTCAAATCTCATACTTTCTTTTGACATGTTCTCATTAAAAACTGTCAAGCTTACTTATTTAGGATTAAGACAAATCTACTATGATCTGTTGTGTAATATTGTTGCTGATTACAATTATTATGGGTATTCAATACCTATTCCTCAAACTACAATACCGGATGATAGGTGTCCTAAGTTTTTTCTTGCATAAGAATAATTATGGCAGGAATATTTTTACAAATAACACCACTGTTCACAAAATCAAAGAGATGTGTACCAATAAAAAAAAAAGTAACAAAATATTATTGTATTACCAAAATGTAAGAGGTCTACGCACCAAAACTGCTATATTTTACAAGAACGCTATAACTATAGCCAGCGATCTTGTCATCCTTACAGAAACAGTTCTAATTAGCTCTGTTAATAACGCTGAACTCTTTCCACCTGAATACGTTGTCCTGCGGAAAGACCGTCAAGGTGACGTCGGGTGGGGGGGTGTTCTATTGGCAGTAAAGAACTGTTATAATGTGAAAAAAGTTACAAATGTCGATGACTTAACTGATGATAAAGAATTATTATTTGCTATTACTACCAGGAAGAATGTTAAGCTAATGGTTTGTGTTGTCTACTTGCCTCCCAGCTACAGCAGTAAACAATATCTCGATGTCTTAACATGCATCGAAAACGCTATCAACATGTATAATGAATATCCATTGCTGATAGTTGGCGATTTCAATTTAAATTCGTGCAATAATAATGTTAGATCTCAATTTAATAATTTTATGGAATATTGTAAGTTGCAACAATGCAATAACATTAGAAATAAATATGGATGCATCTTGGATTTAGTACTGACTACTCTTGATTCCAACAGTATTAATGTGTCATCTGATACCGAACATTTAGTGCCCATAGATGCATCCCACCCTCTCTTAGAAATACTACTTACACTCCCTAAAAGAGCGAACAATCCTTCGTCTTTTACTCCAGGGAAGTATTTAAGTATGGAGTGGAACTTTCGTAAAGCAGATTTACATGGCTTATACACTGAGGTTGCTAATATTGACTGGACTGAACTACTTGACCAGCAGAATTTAAATATAAAGCTAGCCGTAGATATATTATATAATAAACTTAATAGCGCTATTAGTACACGAGTTTCCTTAAGGACAATAGCTCATAACAATAAATATATATATCCCAAATGGTATACCAAAGAAATAATATCTTGTATAAAATTAAAATATTTTAATTTGAAAAAGTTTAAATGCGATGGTTTAGAGTTTAACAAAGAACTTTTTAAATACTGTAGGACTAAAGTGAAGGACGTCATAAATACAGCCTTTAAAGAATATATATTAAAGGTTGAAAACAATATAAGTTTTTGGCAGTATATAAAGGAAAAGCGAAAAAATAGGCAGCAGACAAAAACATATACTTATAAAAGTCAAGTTGTAGAAGGCCAGGAAGCCATTGACTCGTTTGTTAAATATTTTAGTTCAGTGTTCCACGATACTTCTCCGTTGTTAGATGTAAAGGTAGCTGAGGAAGAGGCTAATCGTTTAGGCTGCCTATCCACAGTGACTATTGAACGAGTTACAGCTACCGAACTTAAGTGTGCTGTACGGCGACTAAAAGCTTCAATAGCTTGTGGTCCTGACAACATACCTGCCTTTTTAATAAAGGATTGGTTGTCAGCTTTGGAAGTGCCGTTACTTCATGTTTATAATCTCTCGCTTAGACAATGTTTATACCCTAGTAAGTGGAAAGTGGCCAGGGTGACGCCAATACCCAAATGTGGAACATCCGCAGACATAACAAACTATAGACCTATTGCTGTATTGTGTGTATTTGGAAAGATATTTGAATCTATCCTTAATAACGCCATTTATAAACAAATAAAGGGACAATTGAATGATTGCCGGCATTATAGATTTTATAAATACTAGAGTTAAGTCTGGCTGTCAAGTAGACGCCGCATACTTTGATTTAAAAAAAGCGTTTGATCTCGTCGATAATGATGTACTTTTAAACAAATTTTCTGTATTGGGCTTTTCAACTTCTCTATTAAAATTTATGGCAGATTACTTAAAAGATCGTAAGCAGTTTGTTAAGGTAGAAGGATATAAATCGGAAGAATATTATACTCGATCAGGGGTCAGTCAGGGTAGTACCTTAGGTCCTATGCAATTTCTGATAATGATCAATGATTTACCTAATGTTATATTAAATGCAAAATGTCTGATGTTTGCCGATGATCTAAAACTGTACCTTTCTGTAAATGAAGCTAAGGATTGTTTGGCCCTACAACATGATATTGACGCTGTAGTTGAGTGGAGTCATAAAACAAGTTATCATTTAATAATTCCAAATGTAAAACTATCACTTTTTCTCGATCCCGTAATCCGATTACAAATACATATCATCTTGAAGGCGCACCAATGGAACGTGTTCCCTCAATCAAGGATTTGGGAGTAACAATGGATAACAAATTAAATTTTCATGACCAGATACTTAAAATATGCAAAGACGCTAATTAATGCCTTGGTTTCATCATCAGAATATCTTCACAATTTAAGAACACTCAAGTTATAATACAAATATATGGGTTTAGATACACTTCAACTCAGGCGGGAATCTACACATATAATGCATTATTGTTTGATACTGGCGAATAAGGTAGATAGCCCTGTTGTACGGGAAACAATACATTTTTATGTTCCCGACCAATATATGCGTGCCGTTGGAAGACGACAACATAGACTCCTGTGCTGTCCGCCTACGTGGCGCTCTCCCCAGGCTGACAATAGCCCCACTGCTATAGCAATTAGGCTTATCAATGAGTTTCTTCAGTATAGTCCAGATGCAGATTTATTTTTCGACTCCCAAAGCATAATTTTAAAACATATTTATACATATC